ATATATATATATATATATATATATATATATATATACGTTAAGGGAAAAGAATACGAAAGAGTGAAATATACGTAAAGAATGACGGATCGCTTACGTACATCCCTTTCCTCTTACTTTGCCAAACACATTGAACGTGGGGATTGGCAGAGTTGTCTGCGAGCTCTTTACGGCTCTGTAGACACCGGCACACCATTACACAGTCTTCCACACCAGACACTCTTCCCATTTCTCATTTCTAATGGACAGTGGGAATCTGTATTACGTCTCAGCAGTCAATTAATGGCCGTTGAGGAGGCGAGGATGGTTTCCACTCATACACACAGCAATCAACAGACACACAAACACAATAATAATAATAATAATAATAATAATAATAATAATACTACCAATAGTGATAGCGGTCATCACAATAAGAGTATGAATAGTAAAAAGAAAACATTAGTGTCAAGAGAAGAAGAAGAAGAAAATAAAAATAAAGAAAAAGAAAAAGAAGAAAAAAGTATATTATATAATACACTTCTTCAAGCCACGATGGCAGCAGAGTCTATTAAAAGTATGGGTGGTTGGCAGGCGGCTGTTGGTATTATTCAACGAGCAGCACATCATCAGGTGAAATTGGAATCTTCCACTATGAAAGCACTATTACCTATTCTAGATAAATGGCATCTTGAGGCTTCTCACAGTAAAGAGAATGATAAGGGTAAAAGAGAGAATATTCAACAGTGTATGAATGCCTTGTTAATAACAAGAAATATTCTCACAGCAGACTTACAGGGAAGAGAAGAAGAATCTTTTTCTTTTTGTTCTTTTTCTTCTTCTTCCCATTCTTCTACTCTTTCTTCTTCTTCTTCTTCCTTGATATCCTCTTCCATACCTGTTCATCGTGTATCTGTGAGCTTACATCTAGAGTTGATTCATGCCATCTATAATCTTCTTCAATCCCCTTTAATAGAGGATGAAACTACACAAATGCAGTGGAGGAAATTACGAGAGCAATTAGATAAAAGTTTTTCACTTTCATGGGAAAGTGTTGTTTATACACTTCTTCGTATATGTGCTCCTCATCCTATACTTTCTGGAATACCACAGGTATTACGAGATGTATATGAATCTGAACAAGAAAATAGTGAAGCTATAATGAGAGAAATTGAGAGAACTGTTGATATGATCTCTTTACGGCCCGATATCGCAGAACGTGTACTTTCCTGGTCTCTACAGTGTATGTTTAATAGTAATATTATTCCTCTTCCACCCACGCATGGGCAAAAAAGAAGGAATGATAATACTATTAAATCTTATAGTGATGAGAATGATAGTAGTAGTAGTAGTAGTAGTAGTCGTGTTTATATGGAAAAGAGTGATGAATATAAAATAGATGAAGCGGCTGAATCTCTTTTATGGTGGAGGAGAGAATTAAAAAAGAAACACACACTTCCATCAACTTCATCAATATCAATATTAACAAGAGAACTGTCAAAGTGGGAAGCTGTGATGGCACTCACAATTGCAGAGATGGAACAACGTGAGCGGCGATGGGAAATGATGGGAGATGATTATAAATGGAAATCAAAGTTGTATGAAAAGGAACAACCAGTGGATGAGATATTTTCTTTCAATCAACTCTGTATTGCGGCACAATTAGTTTTCTTAAAAGGACAAACCGTACAGGAACTCCGTCAGGTGAATTACTTAAATGAGATGGAATGTACATATTTGGAACTTGTCGTGCGGAAATTATTCCTTCATGGCTCTACAGTTATGATGAGAAATATGAAAGGAGATGATAGTGTTGTTTTTATTAGTTTTTTAGCAGGAACAATTCAATCTCTAATGACTGTATACATTCATGCTTGTAAGGCATGGGATAAACAGTATAGAGAAAAAGGAAAGGAAACTCCAATAAGGGCTGTAAACAAACGACAGTTATCTAAACAGTTAAATGACAGTAATAATAATAATAATAATAATAATAATAATAATGGTATTCTTGATATGATTGAAATGTCTTCTTCTGCGTTAAGTACGGGTCGTGCGAAATTCTGGAATAATATTTTATTTCCAGAGACTTCTATTTTATTTCGTATTCTTCGAAAAGAAGAGGAACATCATATACTGTTAAGAATATGGCAGATCTTACTATGGCGGATCTTTCATAATACTCCCATATTAACAATGTGGTTTACCCATGATCCTACTAATATTAATACTATTAATATTAATACTGGGGATTCTAGTCAAGTGGAGAATATGAGAGATAATTCAACTATGGATGAAATGAATTCACATGGGGATCATCATCATCATCATCATCATCATCGTTATCGTCATTCTAAACACCGTTCAAACTCTCAAACAGAATCCTTCCAATTACAAAAAGAGGCATTACAACAATTACAAATACTTGTATACTTTCTTGGCCGGAAGTTTCCTGTTTCTAATAATAATGATAATGATCATCATTATCATCATATAATATCTATTATACATCAAGAAGGAAAAAAACCCAAACAAGATTTACCCGTATCTCTTATGATACCTAGTGTATGGACACAAATGGAAGATTGTTCAGTCGTGCTTCCCGCTTTGTCTAAACTCATAGTACGTCAGAGAGATGTAAACACTATTGGTCATTTACTGTTATTATTATGTGTAAAGGAGGATATCTCTGTTGCCGAGATAACAAATATTTGGCGTTTGTATATAAATTCCATTTCCCGTTCACATGGATTACTATTACTAAAGGAAATGATGCGTCTTGCTAATACTACTAGTAATACTAGTAATAGTAAAACTTCTAATGATAATGATAGTAATACTCATAATAGTGAGATGTTAAGAGAGGAAAAGTGGGAAAGGTGCCGCATTGCACTTACCGCCTTATTTCACGAATGTACAAATCTACCAATTACAGAAAAGACAGAATGTACAGATGTGTTATTTAAATCCATCAAGTCTCCTACAAAGTCTTGGCATGTGGCACTTGAACTCTTTGCGGAAACAGGACGTGTGATATGTGAAGAACATCATACTATTAGTAGTAGTAATAATAATAATAGACATTATCATAATAATAACAATAATAATAAGAAGAAGAAGAGAGATTCTTCACTTTTGTATATATTCCATGCATTAGTGAAGGAGGCCACACCACCACGATGGCAAGAGGCACTGCAGTTGGTAGAACTCTATCAAGAACTCACACCTACATGCAAACCAAACATCATCCCAACTTCTACTCAAACTAACAGTATGAATACTACTAATACTAATAATACTAATATAGTTAGTGGTATAGTTCCTCACAGTGATGTTATTCATCATAGTATGAAGACCAAAACACCACTGAGTGAAAGTGAACGTATTGACTTATATGAAGCTCTCGCCCCACTGCAGCAGCGACAACATTGGATCTCTGCGATGGAACTCTTTTATTTATATACACAACGACAATTAACGGCATCGGATGCTGCCTGTTTTGCCTTTGCAGTGGCCCGTGGACCATTACAATTTGCCCGTTGTGTTCTCTCGGCTTTAAAAAGAGGCGAAACCAGTCGGGCACTCAGTCAGGCCGCACTGACCGCATGTGCACATCACGTCAATCGCACAGAGAGACAACGACACCGGAGGAAATCATTATCATTATCATTATTAGAAAAGAATGAAAAGAAGGATAAAGATAAGGATGAGGAAAATAGTGTAGATATGAAAGAAATGCAAGAGCGAGTATTTGTACTGCATGAAGCCCGTGAAGTGGCTCGATTGGCACTTTCACTGTGGCCAACACCTATTAAAGATCCCGCAGACTTTTCGTTTATTTGGCAAAAGATTAAACGCACATGTGCGGGTGATGAGAAATCAGCAAAGTTATTATTAGCATGCAGTTCTCTTTACACAAGTGAACAGGCCACGGCAGAGGCAGAGGCATTTCTACACACCGTACGTTTATGCCACTCTGCACAAGATACCACTACTATTATGAATGCCTATCAGACATTTCGAAGTAAATATATAGGGATGATATTACCAGAAACAATAATGTTGCAACTATTGGAATTATGTGTACGTGGGGTTGCAGAAGAGAGTGAAGGAGAACAGGAGAATAATAATAATAATAATAATAATAATAATAATAATAATAATAATAATAATAATAATAATAATAATAATATGAGAATACTCTCTATGGTTTTGCAGGATACACTATGGATGCATGAGGCTGCCTATCATTATGAGAAGGAAATGAAAGGTATAAAGAAGAGGGAAATAGATGGCATATCATTAGATAAATGGAAAGGATCAACAAGAACATCTATGGCATCAACAGTAGATAATGGTGAATTTCTACTGCGTGTTTGTACAGTATTATTTCAACTCTATCCTATAGAAGAGAAAAGAAGAAAAGAAAATGAAGAAACAACAACAACAAAAACAACGCAGAGAATAATGCCCGTCTCTACAAATGGAATTCCAAGACTATGTACACATGTAGAGATGAACTGCACACAACAGAAACAAGAAGAGATGATATCTCTGTTAAATATATTGGTGCAGTATATCACGAATAGTGATGTTCGATTACTTCAAAATCTTTCAGTTTTTATAGGCGTTCTTCGTGCTTTACCACTAAAGGAGAAAAGAAATACTATTAATACTGTTACTACTACTACGATCACCTCTTTAAAGGGAAAAGAAGACTCTCATACATCATCCTTATTATCATTATCATCACAACAACATCCTATTGAATTACTTTCATATCGTGTACATCAGTTAGAATCCAAACTTGGTTTTGTTGTCCCTGCGGAATGTGTGTTTTGGCTTGATGTACTTAACAGTGTAGTTAAGGGAGGCGTAGTAGTAGTCTCTTCTGCGGGAAAACATATAGGGGATTCTTTTCATATGAATTCTAATCCTAATGGATCTTTGGATACAGATAATAATAATAATAATAATAATAATAATAATAATAATAATAATAATAATAAGACTACTACTAGTATGGATATGAATAGGAATACAAATATATCAGGTTGGGATCCTGCGGCTTTTGTGATTTCAAATGACCAGACAAGTCGTAATGAAGTGTGTACATACTTAGATGGTATAGTAACTCATGCTGTTAATACAGTATGTCAGCGAACTGGAAAAGCATCCTCCTCTTTATCGTATGATGATGATGATAGGAATGTTACTGTTACTATGGATGGGAATAATCATGATAATGATAATGTTAATAGTATGAATAGTGATAATACTATGATTTCATTACGTCGTCATCTTATACCTTCTATAATGGAGGCGTATGTGTTTTTACTGCAATCACAATGGTCCATCTATCCTTCTCTTACGGCAATTCTTGTAGCTACCTCATCTGCCCTTCACTATGTAAATGAAGTACCGGATTGGATATATGAGAATAGTGATAATGATAGGATTACCAACATTTCATTAGATATACTTCAATCTCTATACTCTCTTCTCTCCGCCTTTTATATACGATATACAGTAGCAGAACTTGCCGCTATCAGTACGAAAACAATAGGGGAAACCTCATCGCATCGTCTCTCTGCTGCAGTGGATGGGGTATTAACACGTACCGTATATGAGGCGAGAGCCCACACCTCGCAATTTATTTCCATCTTAACAAGAATAATTCAATCACGTGTAAGTGCCGCAGAGAAGAGACGGTGTATTCTCCAGTGTGTGGAATTACGATGTATGTTAAATCTATTGGCTTGTGCGATGGGAACGTGTTGGACGTGGCCGCAGACAACACTGCGGACGGAATCTTTACAAGCCGTACAACGATCATGTGAGTCCTTACAACGATGTGTGCAAACAGGCCGCAGTGTATTGTGTTCGTATGATCTTTTATTGTTATTATATATAATGAATGCTGTCATTTCCCATAGTTGTATAAGAGGAGAACAACAACAACAACAACAACAACAGTCATCTGTAGTTGTGGGGATGAAAATGAAAATGATGATGGAGTCTATTCTGCAGAAGATACAGTCAGAGATGCGAAGAAGAGGAGAAAAAATGGGAATCACTATAACGGATGGAAATGAAGGAATTCATACTCATACGAATAGTGATAATATTAATATTAATAATAATATTAATAATATTAATATTAATCATAATAATGATGAGTCCCTCTCAAGTGTAGTGTTGGTGTTTACACTTCTACACATTACAAAGTGTAGTCCTGTGCCGGATATGCAGTTACTACGAACTGTTCTCTCTCAACTCTCTCTACACGATAATAAACTCCAACACAATCTTAATAATAATAATAATAATAATAATGAGATAACACTTATCTCTGGACTCATTGCATTCCAATCCGCACAGTTCGGTTCTGCTATTTCTGCCCAACGAGTCTTTGGAGTTTCTCTGCAATCCATCACACATTTCATTGAAAACATTACTACGTTCTCATCTCTCTTAATAACAAGCACTAATACACGTGATGTTCTCTCACTGCGATCGGAAGAACAATTAGTGGAAGTTGCCGTACGCACATTTCTCGCAGCTCGTCAATGGAGTGAAGTGTGTGAAGATGAGAAGGATGTGATGGCATTGATGGATGCTGTTGGGATGATGTGTCCACATCGATGGGATTTAATTTACCGCATCGCCGTAGACTCTCCACTCCCACCAATGTGTATATCGTTAACGGTAAGAAAAGGGAAATTATCTGATAATAATAATAATAATAATAATAATAATAATAATGATAATATGATGTCTTTACGAAGGCGATTGGTGTTTGCCCTTCAGTGTTGTGGACCATGGCCACGTGGAATGGCACTTACATTAATATTATTATCGGTGTTGGATCCAACAAGAGAGAAGAAGAATAATATGATGATGATATCTGAATCATTAACTACTACTACTACTACTACTACTACTACTACTACTACTACTACTACTACTAATAGTAATAGTAATAGTAATAGTACTACTGCAGTAGAGAATGAAGATATGTTAGTGGAAGGTGGTAAATTGTTGGAAATTATCTGTGATCTGGATTTACGGCAACAGTACTATACTACTACTAATACTAATAATAGTAGTAGTAATAGTAATAATAGTAGTATAGAAATAACACAATCTATATTATCTTCACAGCTTATATATTATAATCTCTGGCGGCGACACAGACAACTCTTTACAGCGGCTTCTATGGTGTTGGGAAATGTATTCATGCGATTAAAACAACAGAGATCATCATCATTATCATTATTATTATCTTCACAAGGAGAAGGAAAAGAAGAAGAAGAAGAAAAGAAGAAGAACACACAAGTGGAGAGTATGTGTACACCGCAAGATGTATTAAATATACTTTTTACGTGTACGGCATCTATACAACTTGTGGTATTGGCAGAAGTAACCGCTTTATTATTATTATTATATACAATGAATGCCAATAAATATCAACAACAACAGAAAAATAAGAAAAATAAAAAGAATGCACAAGGTGTAAAGATGTTGAAATGTGTTTCTGCTTGGTTGTCTTCATCTATACAGCCATGGAATACACTTTGTATGGAGGCCAAATATCTTATACTTCGTGATCGTATCTTATTTACACTTCCTCTATCAACAACAACAGCAGCAATAATAATAGAAACAAGAGGAAAAGAAGAAAAAGAAGAAGAGGAAAAAGTATTAAAAGAGATACAGTTAATTACATTAGCACGAACATTAGTGGGATCTTCTCGCGCTATCGCTCCTTCTATAAAAAACTTTCAAAATCTCACTAATACTACTAATACTACTGTTAATAATAATGTTAATACTATTAATACTACTTTTCCTCTGAGTTACCCGCAGGCTCTCTTTACAACGGCATGGGTGGCAGAGTTGTGTAAGAAGCAATTCTCTCCACAGACACAATTTACACCGGCGTGTTTATCCCGCACACTTCGTATTGTTGCCAGTGAAAATAAAGAAGAAAAGGAAAAAGAAAAAGATTATACCGTTCAAAGTATACCATTGGAAGAAACAATATTACTTTCCACCGGGTCTGGATTTACTAGTCTTCAGTATGTATATGCATTAGAGACTGCAATCTATTCTTATGTAGAGAATAAACAGAAAAAGGAATCTATTCTATTACCATTATTAATTAAACTTGCCTGTAGTTCTTCTATACAAGAAATGGTAGAGGTTTTAGAGAAATATATTCAATCACTGTCTTTTACACCTTTATCATTAGAAATATTATTAGCTGTATGGAATACGGTTCTTATTAGACGTGTGGAATTGGCTTTTAATCATTTACCAGAGAAACGAAAAGGTCGTTCTCATCTATTTAATGATAATAAGAGTACTGTTACTACTATTGGTAAAGATGAGATTCTATTGGAAGATGATATAACTCTCACCCATCGTCTAGCTGCTCTCTTTATTGCATTGGGATCCATTACAGTAAATGAAACTAACAATTATAATAATAATAATAATAATAATAATAATAATAATAATAATAATGAGAAGAAGAAGAAGAAGATATTAACAGAAGAACAACAGAAACAATTTATCATTGAGGTATTCGCTCATAGTGTTACTGCGGATATTGTATGGAATGATAAAGCCAAAGAAAGATTAGATGTGTCTCTCTTTCGAACTTGTTGTGATTCTATTCTATCGAGTATACATTCACTCACACAAGAATATCCCTTTTTCTTATCAGAGAAAAGAATAACAAAATCTTTTGATGTTTATATCTCTTCTGCTGTGGAATTGATAAAGCGAAATATAATGGAGACCTCATCTTGGCTTTCGCTCTGGCCACCACTCCCATTGGAAATGCAGCGATGCCGTTATTATATCAATTGTATGAAAGAAGAAAAAGAAAAAGAAGAATTACGTGAAGTTGTGCATGAGTGTCGTGTTCGTCATCCTTTGGCTGTAATCTGGTTACTGCGAGAAACTGCTCTACTCACTTCGCAGGGTATTAATATTAATAATAATAATAATAGTACACCAGTACGTCCATTGATGGATCTTTTTAATACACTTCGTCAATATATATTAACAGGTGAGGCACACTTTAGACGCTTTAAGAGAGAAAAGAATATATCTAGAGAAGAAAGTACAATAAAGACATCATCTCTTCTTTCTTCTTCTTCGTCTTCTACGGCACCTTCTCTCTCTTGTGTGTTATTGCCGTTTATTCGTGGGGCTGGGGCAGGATTAGTGGTGGATAAATTTATTTCTCTGGTATTACAGTACTGGCAGTCCTCCTCTTCACATGGACATAATAATAATATTAATAATAATAAGAATAATAATAATAATAATAATAATAATAATAATAATAATAAGAATATTCTTGTAAAGGACCGGGATGTTATTCGACACCTCACAGATGCCATCATCCCACGTACCTCACATGATGAATCCTCCCTATCAATATCAACAATATCATTATCCACAAAAAGAAAAACAATAGAAGGAACAGAGAAAGAATTAAACAACTCATTTCTTAATGGCTACACAGCCGTAAGCAGTGAGGGATTACAATCACTTCTTCGTCTCGTGGTATTACGGGATGGTTTAGATAAACGGCGTACAGCCACAGTTAAACATGTTGTGAATATTTTACATTTTGAACAACAACGAGAGGCGGCACGTGTACATATTGCCCAGACGATAAAACTTCCACGCACACAAATTCATTTCACTCAACCACGTTGTAGTTGGGATGTGAAGATATTATTACTTTTCTTTCTTCGTTCCTTTGCGGCGGCGTTAATGTTTGTAAATCCACTTGGTTGGCATGCAGAGCGGATGTGTACATTAGATGTGGCCTACACAGCTTTATTGGATTTTCTTTTTCTTTTTTATACTTCATATGGAGGAGAAGTGAATCTCTTTTCACGGCCGGTGGAGAAGGAATTGGAATCTCTCTTTGGATTGGGGGCCGTACGGGTTATTCAAGCAGCAACAAGAACAGATAATAATAATAATAATAATAATAATAATAATAATAATAATAATATTAATAATAATAATAAAGATAGTGAGGTGTTAACAGTTCAACAGCTTTTACAATTCTTTAGTGGAGATTGGCAAAAGGAGCGTCATCCAAGGAAGAAGGCAGCGGATGAGTTATTGTTAAATCAGAAACTACAACAACTCCTCGAATTACAGAGAGCTTATAATATTAATAATAGTAATAATAATAATAATAATAATAATAATAATAATAATAATAATAATCAAAATACAGCGGAGGTGTTGTTTCTAAAGGAAGAGGAGACCACATCTCTATCTACGATGGAATCCCCATCACCATCATCATCACAACTGCCACCATTCACACAACTTTCATCTCTCACACAAACAGCATTATGGACAACTGCGACTGTACCATCTCATTTAATTATGTATGAGATATTAGACACGGCAAACACTAGAGAGATAAACACTATACGAGCAGGATTGCAGTTCTTTCTCACGATTGCTCCCTACACTATTGTATCTACTCTCATGTTAGAGAAAGTACTACTTCTCTTATGTACATTTATACGGAATTCACAAAATAAAAAATTATCTTTGATGGATGTAAAGTTAAGTGAAACTATTTTAGATATTATCTTACGTCGATATCAATATATCTCACTTAATACTCCAGAGGCGGTGGCACTTCTCTGTGAATTGTATGCTGAGATGATCCCTACCAGTAGTGCCGTAAAGAGAAATCCTAATAATAATAATGATATGGTTAATGTAAATAATAGTAATGATAATCATTATCATTATAAGAATAAGAAGATGAAGGAAAAAGATGGACAATCACGTAGAGATTCGGAATTACAGAACGAACAACAACAACAACGAGAAGAATGGTTATTATGGCGTTGTGTGATGGAGTCTAACAATATCGCCGTAGCGCCTCTTCAAACCGCATTAATTAATTTAAATGTAAATACTCTGCGTAAAGTCCAACACGGTTGTCTTTTGTTTCTCGCAGAGAGCCACACACAACCTCACTATGATTTACCATTCATGCGGCTTGGTAAACTCATAGATTCATTATTGTTTAACCCTACAGATTTCTCTAATGGGGAATATAAACAGAATAATAATAATAATGATAATAATAATAATAAGGAAGAAGAAGAGAATAAAGAGAATCATCAGGGATTTTTAGAACAGGTATTGGCATTAATAGAAACGAACCCAATAATCATGAGAAAAAACACAAATGCGGGTGTTGTTTATATTCCCTGGCGTCGTGTATTAAACTTATTACTACCATCTAATATTCCCAATCATTTATTATGGAATCAAACAAATAAACAACCGGATATTATGCGTTTTCGTCTCTTTACGGCTTTACTCTCACATATGCTTTCCACGATGTCTGGTGAGAAGCGAAGAGATGCATTGCGTCAGGTATGGGAACAGGCACTCTCTGCTATTATCCCATTTATATCCTCTGATCATAATAATAATAATACTAATAATAATAATAATAATAATAATAATAATAATAATAATAATAATAATAATAATAATAATAATAATAATATGAGTGCTGTGAAGATGGATAGATTATATCATGCCGCCTTATCATTATTGCGTGTATTGTATATTGTTCAACCTCCACAAGAATGGGAGTCTGTTCTGCAACTCACACAATTTATTACTCTGCATACATTAACACCTGAAGAAATAACTAATAATACTAATAATACTAATAATATTATTAATACTAATAATATGAAAAGAGGAACAGGAGCTGAATTATTTCATACACTTCGATATCTTGTAGAGTCCTGTGAAATTAATGCTATTCCTATTGAAACCCTATTGAAATATTTACAATTCATTACACAACATCAAACCACTATTATTATTATGGAAAGTGAAATGACAATCTTAACTTCCGCAGCATTAAACCGGGCGAAAATCATTATGGAGTTTATTCAACAATTACAATATCATCCTTATATTCGTCATTCAGACGCTCTGCAAATAATGAAATCGTTAACCACGATAGAGAAAACACTAATTAAACAATGTTTGCCAAGTAATAGTAGTAATAATAGTAATAACAGTAATAGTAGTCACTGTGAAGATGAAATACATTCTTTACTTGAACAGGCAAAGACGGATTTAGTTTCTGCTGTAATAGAGAAATTATACCGAAGACAATCATATGAACAACTTCTTCGCTTTGCAGAGGCCGTTCAACAACAAGAAAGAGAAGAAAGAAAAGAACAGTCATTCCGTATACGTGGTCGAGATACTCTTATGTGGATAAATCACGCTGCCTCTATTGTAGTAGCTCCAACTCAGACCGGTGGATTATCAGAAGTATTATTATTATTAAATGGAACTCGTATGGATAAGACTTTAGATGATATCTTACGTGAACAGTCCGCTGCGGTGAAGGAACGACAAGTACGTCGACTTTGTGAATTACTTCAAACCGGTAAATGTCGAGATGCGGCTTTGTTAACACGACGATCATTATTATCATTATCATCATCATCATCATCATCATCATCAGTGTTATTATTACAAACAACAGAGTTTCATCAAGTATGTGAAGAGTTAATATCATCTTTACAATACGGTATTGTAGTCTCCTTCTATGATGAACTACTTCATCCAGAAAGAGAGATGGAGAAAGAGGAAAGTACACTTAATGAGACTCATATATCTAAAAGGGAATATAAGGATGTTGAGAAGAGCAATCAGGATAGAAATAAGAATAATACTAATATTAACACAATGATGGATATTGCGAGTGATGAAATGATAACAGCGTTATTAGAAGAAGATGTCCATCGCATAGAGGATGTCTCTATTCTGGAGAATGTCAACATAGAGACATTACAACAGGCAATGAAAGCCTTTGAATGGACATTAAATACCTCAAAAAATACAACAATGGAGATCCATGGAGTTAAAAAGAATAATAATAACAATAATAATAATAGTATTAATAGTAATCATCATCATCATCATCATATGAGTATGAGTACATATCGTACGGGATTATGGATTACAGCGACATTAATTCGACGTGGATCTTCACTTTTACTGAAATCGTATGATTTATTCACATCTACATTACGGTGGATTAAGCGGGATTTGGCTGGTCCTAATGCTATGAAGAATAAAGAAATACTACAAATCCTTGCAGATGCGATAAGAGACTCACTTCACACTGACAACACAGATAAGAATAAGAATAAGAATGAAGTGCTCATATTACTTCAAACTCATCATGAGGTCGCAGAATTACTTTTGGAAATTTTATCCACTGTGTTTCCTGATATGACAACACAGATATGTGAGTTATTACTATTACCTTCACCTTTAAATAATAGTATATCCCTAAAAGAAGATGAAGATAAGAAATGGAAAACCTTTTTAAGGTGTACAGCTGTGTATAATAAAACCCTACAAGAGTCTATTCAATACTGTTCTTCCATTATCACAAATAGTCATTCCAAAGAACGTGCTTTTGAGACTATTGTCCATTGGCGTGATCAAATCTTATTTAGCAAAGCATCTACTACTACTACTACTACTACTACTACTAATAATAATAATAATAATAATAATAATAATAATAATAATAATAATAATAATGATAATACGGTTAGTAATGATTCTATTTCATCATGGGTCTCAGCATTGGCGGTGTACACAACGGCTTGTTCATATGTGGGCCATACGGCCATTACCGGAGCGCATGCCAGTCGTCTTGTGCAGATAGTAACAGCGAGTGAAGATCTCTCTGCAGTGATTGCCGCAGCCCGTCGTGTTTCTCTCTTCTCATTATCTCCTTCTTATTCCTATTCTCCGTATTCTTCTTCTTCTGTTGGTTCTTATTATTATCATTATCGTTATCATCGTTATCCTGCTGCTGTTGCTGTTCTGCCGTTGTGGTTAACAGCCAGCGGCGGTTGGGGCCCATCACTCATTAAAGCTATGCGAGGAATGAAACAACGGGCCATTCGACTTCTCACAACTAACACTAATACTAACTCTACTACTAGTATTACTATCATCTCAGCATTATCCACAAGTGAAGAGAGAAGTATACAAAGAGGAGGAGAAGGAGAAAAGAAGATAAAGATAATGAAGGAATTGTTATCTCTGTTATCGGATTTACATGCATTAAATCGTTTTGTAGCCGATCTGTTATCCCAACAACAACGACTATTATCATCATCTCAACAATATCAACAAGAACAAGAAGAACAAGAAGAAAAACAAGAAAAAGAACAGGATAGTGGTGTATTGGATGGACGAGTAGAACTTGCTTGTTGTATGCTTAGTGCTCTCACAGTGGCACCCTCACCAGAGACGAACGCAATCCCAACAACACTTGAAGATTGGCGATTACTCACACAATCTATTATTGCAGCTATTCCATTCAAACAACGTAATGCTGCTGTATTGAATGCCTTAATGGAAAGTACACAAGATTCATTTGAACTTCTTCTTCTTTTACAACAGGAACCTTCCATCGCATCTGGAACGGGATATCGTGAGGCATGTAAAGGACTTTGGCGGGAAACTCTAAATATCATAACTGGAGATGAAAATCTTTCACCACATCTCTTTGCTAATAGTAATAGGAGTAGTTTTACCCATACTAATAATACTAATACTAATAATACTAATACTGGTAATAGTATTAATGGAATTACACAACCTACACCACAGACAATGTCCATGATGCATCTTGAGATTCTATTAAACTGTGCAACTCTTGTGGGTTCAAAAAGTGCAACTGCCGTGATGCAGTCTATCTGTCGACGTGCTTTGATTGTTTGTAATAATAATAATAATAATAATAATAATAATAATAGTGTTGATCCTACAACGATGTCTCTGTTACTTTCCACTGAAGCCAAGGCAGTTATCACGATTGCGTGTATTCACCGTGCGGGTCCCACGTGGCGTTCTCTCTACACTATTATCACCGGCGATGCCCCGTCGGTGTTACTGCGGCCATCGACACTTTCACCTGCAGTGGAATTTCAACAACAGACGTGTTGTTTAACGGCAATGGCGGCAGTATCGAATTGGGCACAGGCACTGCGAATAGCGCAGACGGCACGGCAATCAGGGATTCGACTGCAATACAAACACTATTCCCAATTACTTGAGCGACTGGAGGAATACATTGGAAAGGATGAGAATAGTAATAGTGATAATAATAATAATAATAATAATAATAATAATAGTGATAATACTACTGCAGTGGGAGATGCGGTGTTGGGATTACACTTTGCGAGATTGCAGGATGGAAGTATACCGAATGCACACGCAGTGGAACAATCACTTCGCATTCTTTCACATGTCTCGTCCTCTCCACTGCCGGTGTTGGAGTATGCACAGGCATTAACATTGATTTCTCCCGTACACAACGCACATCCAATACATTCCAGTAATAACTTATCATCATTATCATTATCATATGTAGATAAAGTGGAACAAACATCTTTTTCACTTTCTGTAGTGATGATACGTCTTATTACGGAAGCGGCAGTTCAACTCCCAGATGCGGTGCGTGAAGGTCGATTAACAAGAGAAGAAGGAGAAGAGGGACTGGGAATGTTTTCTTCTTTTATAAAATGGGTAAGTGAATTTAAACGAATCCCTTGTATTGATAAAGATATTATGGAACCCATGGTTCGTTTACTCTGTACATTACCAGAGTATTTATTTCAACAAAAAGAAGAAAAAAAGGAAGAATTTTATTCCCTTTTAACGACAGGTGATGTACGGGTATTATTACTTCATACACTTCTCACTTATCATGAGATGGACATCTCATCTGAAGAGACATATGGTTCTAATAAACTCCTATTGCAATTAGATACCTATCGTTTCCATATTAATAATAATAATAATAATAATAATGAGACGAATACAGAAAAGAAAAGTATATTTCCCACGATGGCATCATTCCTAACTCTACGCAGTCATGCAGAAGTGGCTTTACGACTGGTGCAGCGACAAGCATTTCTCCATCATGTGATTCAACTCTCTCATTCATTACTCTGTCGTTTATTTGCAGCCGCATCCTGTGGAAAAGATCTCTCATCTATTTCACTACGACCCATGGGCCGCCTTGTACAAAATACAGAACTTATTTCTCCAACTTTACGATATATACTCACACTTACTGTAGCGGAACAGGCGGTATTGTGGAAGTTGATAAATAAGAAGAAGAAGGAGGAGGAGGAGGAGGAGAATATATCTTCTATACCTATTGGAAACCATCTCCATAAGTCTTATATCTCTGTAAAAGAAAATATCCCATTATCTATATTGATAAGACATGTGGAAGAGGCCTATTATCTTGTACGGCATTACTTTACACCTCCTGAGGCATTATCACTGCGGGCGTTGTTTTTACCAACGAGAGAGAATAATACAAATAAGAGTAAAGAGAATAGTAGTATTGATGATGATAATGATGTGATTTGTAATAATAATAATAATAATAATAAGGCTCTTGAGATGGATATGGATACAGATGAATATGGTTTGAACGGGTTACAGAGACAAGAAGAAGAAGAAGATCAACAACTGTTGGATGCCGTTGATAATAATAATGAGGAGATATCAACAATATCATGGAAAGAGGCATTAGAACTATTCCGTGTATTGTTGCGTAATGCCCAAACACATGCAGATCTTTCATATCCATTTGCTGTTTTGATAGTATTATTGTGCCGCCAACACCGCTGTAGTGAGGCATGTAATCTTCTTCAATTAGCCGCTGAGTCCTCATTGAAGAATAATAATAATAATAATATTAATAGTAATAATATTAATAATAATATTGAGGAAGAGGAAAAGAATGAAGAAGATGTGTTTTCACGTTTACTGTCAAAACATGTGATGGTGGATGTATTTCTTATGAAACGACTTTTTAATATAGTGGAAGAAATGCAGAAACAACAAGAACAACAACAATATCAACATCAACAGTATCTTTCTGGGAAAAAAGATAATAATATGTACAGTAAAGGAAATACTGAGCGGATACCTCTTATGTTTTGGCGGGTGGCTTTACATTTACTGCAGAAACAACAGGAAGAACTCTTTCATCCTCTTCTTCTTCTTAAGAATGAAACGGGTAAGGATTCCACACTGAGTGCCTCTTTAACAGTGTTGGCCGTCATGAAGGAAATACGGCAAGGTAAAAGACTCGAATAGGAGGAAAAAAAGATAATATAAATAAAGGGTTTTCTTATCTATTTACGGATTACTGGACTCTATCAAAAGTGGATCGTGTTTTCTTTTTTCTTTCTTCTTTTTCCTATTCTTCTATTTTTACATCGAATTGCAGTTTCTGTAAAAATGAAAAAAAAAACATCATTTCTCCTCTGTATATATTTATATAACTTCTCTTCCTTCCTTATTCGGTGTTATCGGTATGTGGGTATAGGCTATACCTAAGATCCATCTATTTAAAGACAGAGTGAAGATTATACTTCTCTTTTATTATTATTATTATTATTATTATTATTATTATTCTCTTCTTTTTTTTTTTTTCTTTCCAAAGGGTCTGGGATTGTAACAAGTAAGTGTTCACCAGAAGAAAGTCAAGGTAATATATTTTCTAGTGAAGGAAAAGAAAGAAAGAACAACAAAAAAAAAAAAAGAAACCGAAATATATTTTATTTTGTCTCTATATATCTATAGAAGAAAAGAATATATATATTTATATATTTATTTATTTATTTACGAAAAGAGAAAAGGAAAAAAAAAAAAAAAAAAAAAAAAAAAAAAAAAAAAACGTTATCCGTAAATGCGTAAAAGAAAGTGCCAGCCACAACCACAACGAGAACAAGAACAACAACATGATATAGGGAATGCATATATAGAGAATGACGGTGAAGCCCCATTATGTTTTTCCGGCGGTGTCTCTACTCATACAATTAAAGGAGCCTCTTTAAATGCAGGAAATACTTCAATAAGTTCTGTTGTTTGGGCTCATCGAAATAAGAGACGATCAATTCGTGGAGAGGAAGATCAGACTATGATGGATAGTAAATGTGCAAACTCTACAAGTTGGTATTTACCAATGGAGATGGAAGATATGTCCCACAATAAATCTATACCTTCTCAGACACCATTACTGTATGAATCAGGTAATCAAGGAAAGTATGATCCCGCTGGTAGTTCTGTTATTTCCTTTAAAGGTATTCCTTTAGTAAAGGAAAGAGATTTATCTGATATTCAAATCTCATTTCCTGAGAATGATCTTAATTCTCCACCATACTGTACAGATAAGAGTTCTGGGAGTAAGATTATTACCTCACCGTTTGTGTCAGGTCCAATCCAGAGAAGTAATTCACTCTATTCAAAACCACAAGATGAGGAGGAGGAGGAGGATGAAAAAGAAACAGAAAAAGAAAAATATAAACAACAACAGCAAGAACAACAACAACAACAACAAGATGAAGAAGGAGAAGAAGAAGAAGATGAAGAAGAAGAAGGGAAAAGAAAAAAAAGATGCTGTTACCCTTCTCGACCATTACCCTTATCATATGTTGTACTCCCTTACTCCATTGTTCTTATATTTGTGGCGGTGTTTTCATCTGTAATGCCTTACTATGTGACTAGAAATAGCATTACCAACTCTATGGAAGATATTCATCGATATGTTCAACTGGAAATATCTTCACAGATATTGAATTACTTTAATATATCCAGTATGTTAGGTACCGTTATAGTAGGACTTTATATTAAACATGAAACCCAACCAAGTCCAAGTGATGATTGGGTTCCCATGGGATTTGAAATGACTCAACGATTGTGTTCAATGCTTTCATTTGAACGTATGTGGTTTGTTAAACACATTTATATTGCTTCTCCTACAAGGAATGAAATGGCATTTTGTGCACGTGGAAATCATAATAAACATTTCTATACAGTACTAAAACGACCAGGAGATGGAGCTTTATACCGTTTTGTCGCTATAGATCCCAGTACAGTGACGATTATAGATCCACCTTTAGTGATAGCAGAACTGCGAAATCCATTTACACTAAATTATCTCATAAATAATCTCACTATTACGGGTCAATTACTAGCCGAGTGGAAACAACGGTTGTTAAAGGGAGATCAACAGCATTTACGACTGTGGAATATTGAGAGATTTCTGGATAAAAGTTACATGTATACACATCCTTTTCTAGAAAAGGATGGTAATGTAGCATTTATAAAAGTTGCCCTTGATTTTGATCAAGTGGTGAAAACTATATTTTCTCGACTTAAAGGTACACACAGTAAAATACGAGTAGTTCTCTTAGATAATAATGCCAATATGAAAGTTCTAGCTACAAATTCGGAATCCTTTGCAGATTCATGGATACACAAAGATGCAGAAGTAAACCATTTTTCTTCTGATCAACCTACTAGTAGCAGTTCAAGTGATGATGGTAGTGATAACTATTATAAGGAAGATATCTTAATGAAGCCCGATTTGACAATTTGGGATTTGAAAGATCCCCTTATGGTTTCGTTAACTAAACGTATTAATTTAATAGATGTAGTTTCTAAAGTACGTAATGGAAACCATTTCTTCTTAAGGTTTCCTTACGATCAATCAAAAGCTACTGTTAGTATATCTCTAGTTGAATCCGAAACGAATGAAAGTATTATTATGATGATAGCGATGCCTCCGAGAATGTTTGATCGTTTTAAATTTTCTGCTGGTGTTGCTGCCACTGTATTAACAATAACCACCATTTGTGTGATTATAATTGTATATGGATTTATTAACATTTGTGTTAGTCGACCATTACGTCTTATTGCAGCAGAACTCCGTACAGCAGCGCGAGTAGAAAATAATCCCACTCCCATCACAACCACATCCACATCAGGAATAGCAACATCACCAGCAGGAATAACCATCATGGGAACATCAACAACAGGAACAACAGCAGTTGTAGTAGTAGAACCATCAGGAACAATTTGTACGCTCAGAAGTTTTCTAAATAGAGAATCTTCATTATCTGATATTCGTATGCTACAAAAGGCTTGTTTTTCCTTGCAGAATCAACTTGCTCATTTACGTTCTTTCCTTCCTCAAGGACTCTTTCAACCAGAACCTATCGCACGAGAAGATATAGCTTCACACTGTGCCTCTATTAGTTTAGCGGATAGTGGAATGGGAATTGAAAGAAGGAGTAAAAGTGATGGAAAAATAGCAACAACAAGTACAACAACAACAACAACAACGACAACAACAACAGCATTGGCTGGTATTTCACGTATATCTGATTTTCGTTTTAGTGGAAGTATGCTTGATGAACGTAGTGAACATATTAATGTTTTTACCGATGTTGTTTGTTCTGTTGTCTCTGTATATTTTTCAAATATAAAAAGTATTATAGACCACGCAGATGAGACGGCAAGTGTTATCGTATTAACATCTACAAAATATGGTGGTTGTATTGATACTTTTTTACCTGAATTATTTCTTATAAGTTTTCGATCTGGTCGAAATAATCATCTTGATAAGTTGGAAGCCACACAATGTGCATCAGAAATTTATCGAAGTCTTCCTCTTGCCGCACGTCAATACTGTAGTATTATAGTGGATAGTGGAACCTTTCACTTTGGGGTTTGTGGTGGAACAGAGAAGAAGGAACTTGTACTTTGGGGTCGATTTATTGGATCTGATCTTGTTGAGATTCAACGTCGTTATGGTATTCCACTTGCGATTCTTCATTCTACCGTACCTTTTATTCGTTCTTGTATGCATGTACTTCCCTTTGCCTCTGTTCATATGCAAATACCAGAAGTCAGTTCTCCTGTTACTCTCTATACACTTATTGAAGATTTTCCAGATACGGTGGTATGGAAATCTATAGAGGAAACTTATCGTAAAGGGTTTTCACATCTTTTACAACACGCTTATGCAGAAGCACGTATGTGTTTTGAAAGTCTCGCTGTTTCTCCATATGTTACTATGCAATTGAATCGATGTTTACAATCACAAATTGCACAGACTAATATAGATGCCATGATAGAACCTCATACACCTTTATTACTAGTTAATTCACAACAAAAAATAACTAGTGGAGATCGTGGGAATACAGTATTATCTAAGGGATCTACTACTTCTATGAATAATAGTGATGAGGGAAGTACAACGGATGAAAAACATGATGTACTCCATCCATTTTCTACACGATGTATGATGGATGGTGATATGTCTTGTAGTACAACTTCAACATGGCGTTCAGCACCAAATAAAACAATTCCACATGAGTTTTGGGATAAAGATAATGTTCGATGGACAAGAGCGAATGAACCTTTTCCAGAATATCGTCGTTTTCCAGTTTTTCTTGGTATAAGTGATACCGGTACACTTTCAGCACTTAAGTTTTTACCCTGTTTAGCACTTGAAGAAACTGGATGTAGTGATCCTTCTGAACTTGAAAAAGCATGGGAACTTTCTAGAGCATTATATCATGAAAATATTGTCCAAATCCTTGGTTATGGTAGAGCAAAAGGATATATCTGTCTTATTATGGAATATGTACCTGGAGGAACTTTACGTGATTCGGTAAGTCGCTATGGTCGTTCATTACCACTTGCCGCTATTAAAAGGTTCTTAGTAAGTACATTATGTGGATTAGAGTACCTTCATAGTCGTGGATTTATACATGGTAATGTCCGTCCTGAGTGTATTATGGTAGCTGTAGAAGGTTTATATAAATTACGAGGATTAACACATATCACTTCTGGAGCTGCGAGTATAGCGGCATTGCAGAGTCGTTATTCCTTTGGTGGAAGTGTCTATTGTAGTCCAGAAGTATTCGCAACGGGAAAACGAACAGCCGCATCCGATATTTATGCTCTTGGTGTATTATTGTTGGAACTCATCATTAATCAAACACCATGGCAGTGGACCGATCGTGCACTCGCAAGAATGTCAACAATCCCTACAGGCAACGATGAACACAATACACAACAACAACAACAACAACAACAACAACAAGGGAAAAAACTACGAACGGAGTTATTATCTGTTTTATCAGACTTTGAACGAATGCGAGCGGCCGTACATCACGGTGATGTGGCATTGCAAGAAGTACCGTCTGACTGCGATCCGTTGTTGCGGGAAGTATTGAACGGTTGTCTGGCGAGTGAACCCGCAGACCGTCGGACCGCATCACAGTTGTTGGTATTGCTCACGAATGGAGATCCACTTTCTGTATAAATGTCTGTGAGTGTGTGAGAATGTGCCTGGAGTACAGGGTTATATATTAGCCAATGGTAGGAAAAAAGGGAAGTTCCATATACTGATATACATACTCATCCACACACACACACACACAACAAAAGAGAGTGAGAGACGAATAAAAGATGTAGAAGAAAAAAAAAAAAAACAGTACCTGGAAACAGGACAGTTGCTAAAGCATCATAAGGTGAATTCTTGACAACGCCTTTACAGATGCATTTATACACGTATGTTTATTCTTATATTATTGATGTGTACACCATTGGGGGAAGCATATGTGGGAATAACAGGTATATCAATATGGGTAAAAAGAACCTGATCTATATATGTATATGTGTAATAGTATATATATATATATATATATATATATATATATATATATAAACAGTTACTTGTATTCGCTTTGGAGGCTGAATGTAATGGGTTTACATGAAATTGTGTTCTTTAGGGGCTGGTGGGAACGAAGAAAATGGTTTTTTTTTTTGGGGGGGGCGAAATATGAAGTAGTAGTGAGTTTTGGTTCTCGGGGAATGGATGTATGTGCTTAGTTAAAATTATTGTGAGGATTATTATTCTCTTTTTCTATTCCAGGAGGAATTTTTATTATTAATTATTGATCGTTTTCATTGCCTCTGTTGTTTACATCTTTTGCTTTTTTTTTTTTGATTTGTTTTTCCATTGAATTGATTTCCCGTTACTATGATTTTTCTTGGTAAAAAAGGTACTTTTATCAAAGTTTTTTTCTTTCCCTCTTATACATTGTCCCATTGAAAACCCTACAGTGATACGGTTATTATTATTATTATTATTATTATTATTATTATTATTATTATTATTATTATTATTATTATTATTATTATTATTATTATTATTATTATTATTATTATTACAAGCTATTACAAAAAAAAAAAAAAAAAAAAAACAGAAACGCGCTATAAAAGAATAAAAGGAGAATGATAGCGAAAGGTTTACAATTCTATAAAACCACTACTGTTCCTATCAACAAAATAAAACGTTTTTTTTTTCTTTTTCTTATTGTTTTACTTATATATAAAGTCCATGTTGGTGTATACTTCTTTAAGTGGTATTGAAGAAGAGAAAACTCACAGGGAATCTCTTTTTTTTTTCTATTGGGAGGAGTGAGGGGATGGTACCATTTGTGGATACAGAAATCTCTTTCACGTGTAGTCAATATTAAGTTTCTCTGAATCGGCATATATATATATATATATATATATATATATATATATATATATA